AGTTACAACTGGTACAAGATCGTGCATTTTATTAGCATAACTTATATTCTAACAGGATCCAATCTGGTGCTGAGAAATATAAGTATCCAGCCTCTGACAGGATAGGGCTCTGCTGCTTTCTATTTATCACAATAAAACTAAGGCTAACTCTATCAGTACTCCATGGATTTCTTATAAATACAGAGAGACTCATACAGGAATGACACACTTATAAAAATGCCAAATGCTGCTCTGTATGAATGGAATCATTCATACATGAATGTGTGGGATGGATGAGTGGCCAGTGAGGTGGATTGAGAACTGGCTGAATGGCAGATCCCAAAGACTTGTGATCAGTGGCACAGAGACTAGTTGGAGGCTGTCACTAGTGGTGTCCCCCGGGGCTCTATATTGAGCCCTGTACTGTTCAATTTATTCATTAGTGACTTGGACGAGGGGACATAGTTGTATTCTCAGTAATTCACTGATGATACAAAACTGGGAAGAGCTGCTGATACCTCAGAGGGCTGTGCTGCTCTTCAGAAGGACCTCGACAGGTTGGAGAGATGGGCAGACAAGAACCACCTGAAATTCAGCAAGGGCAAGTGCAGGTCCTGTGTCTGGGGAGGAATAACTACCAACACACCAGTAGAAGTTGAGAACTGACCTTCTGGAAAGCAGCTCTGCAGAGAAGGACCAGGGGGTCCTGGTGGAAAACAGGCTTGTCCATGGGCCAGCAGTGTGTCCTTGTGGCTAAGAAAGCAAATGGAATCCTGGGATGCATTGATATCCTGGGATGCATTGAGAAGTGGATTGCCAGTACGTTGAGGGAGGTGATCCTGCCTCTCTACTCAGCCCTGGTGAGGCTACACCTGGAGTATTGTGTCCAGTTCTGGGCTCCTCAGTACAAGAGGGACATGGAGCTCCTAGAATGGGCCCAGTGGAGGGCAATGAAGATGATGAAGGGACTGGAGCATCTCACTTAGGAGGAAAGGTATAAATGTAGCCTGAAAATATAGCTCGCTCAGAATGATAACCTGTCTTAGTTCTCATAATCACACAAAGTCCATTCCATACCCACATCTCTTGGTCTGATACTTCTGACCTCAAAAAAACAAAAGCTACACTTTGGAAACTTGTATATGAATGTGCACAGACACCAACAAGAGCTGCCAAGTCCCTCGGGTGCCCACTTTGAGCTGAAGACAGCCTATGAACCAGTCACTTTCCTGCTTTGGGAACTGCCAGGACAGAATAAAAGTTTTCCAGACAACCATCCCATAGGAATGCCCATGTTCATTCTGCAAAAGTCAAGAGATTGATATTTTGCAACATAACTAGTCAGGACAGCTGGAGGAATAGTTAATAAGGTGTAAGCTCAGGCCCTGCCAAAGAGATCCACAGTGCAGCTCCAAGAAGCAAGGCTTCCTTTTCCTTCCTACACTACAGATTCTTGAACTCTCCCAAAGTCTTTACAATATCAGACTACATAGCCAATTCAGAGAAAGTTGGAAACTTCAGGGCAGATCTCATGAGATCAAGACAAACATTTGTCCATCAAGAAAAGAAAAGCTGAGGGCATGAGAGCAACTTGGCTGCTTAATAGCTCAGAGAAGCTGCTAGCAAGTCACTAGAATGAGAGACAGAGACAATTTTGGGGCTTCTCCCAAGCTGATGAATGAGAAAAGGTCAGTCAAAGCTGCTGTGAGTCCCAGCAGCCTGTCCCATTCACCTCCACAGCTGCATGCTTTTCCACAGTAAAAGAATAAAAGTATTGTGAGAAAAACCTCTCTGTGAATGGCTGTAAAGAACTTTTTTTCATTATGCTTTCTAATAACTAACATACTACTAAAGCAATAGTCCCAGCAACGGATACAGAGAGACTGCTCCACAGCTCAGGAGTCCACACATTGTGCCCACATACACATGGATGCACATCCAATCCATGGTTAATATTGCCATGCAAGCACTAACCTGCTACTGTGCCCATTCTACAGCAGAAGGAACTAAAGGGACATCATTCACTGGAAAAGTGCTACTAAGTCAGCTGCAATACCCAGCTCTGCCATTGGCACAGCTTAGTCTAATCTCTTGTCAGCAGCCAAAGCATGAACCTAAATTTAGATTGGAGTCTTGGGCAACTCTCTCAGCTCCTGCCTCTACACCTAAACAGGGTAATAGCACTGCCTGCTTCATGGGAGGAGTAGAGTATCGATTAAACTTTGGAGCAGCAAGGGACAAAGTATCCACTCCAAAGTTCTTCAATTGCCAAAGTAGGAGTAAATGAAAACTGCAAGGGAATCCATTATTCAACCTCTTCTCGAGTCAGAAACAGAATATAACAATGGGCTACCATTTTATCCTGGGAAGAACTTTAGATGTACATACACTCCTAATTAACAGAAAGCTACCAGGTACTTGAAAAAACTACTAATTATAAATGAATATGGCGTCTTCAAAGTCATAATCCTTTTCTCCTTTTGCACACAAAATTAACATTACTTTCTTCTGAAAGGCAAGTGTTAAGTGTAGATTGTTTCTTCACTGATTTTCCAAAGAACCACAACAACATAATTAATGAGGTGGATTGTTTGGGTTAGCTACTTCCCCATCCACCTGGTGATGCTGTTCTTCATGTCAGGAGAGCTAGCACACAAATTCTAAACATGCTGGATGCAAATACTAGCTTTAGGCTGCTGCTGTTTTATTTATTCTATAGGCAAAACTATAAGTGTAACACAAACTATTGATCTCCTCAGTATAAGATTTAAAGTCCTACAGGAACATTAAGAGCCTCCAGTCTGATCATCCACAATACACAGACTACAGTCATTTGTTAACTCAGTAAAACTGCACTTGAACTGGAGCCTGTATTTTAGCCTGTTTTGATCTTACAGACAAATGCAGTATTCCTCCTGCATCAACCTACAGGACATGACTCGGAGGAAAGTTTATTTCCTCACCTCTTTATTCCACTGCAAACCAATAGGCTGAAGGAGGGAAGGGAATCCTTCCTAACACGTCTCCACTATGTTTACCTCTGATGAGTGAGGACCAATATCCTCTGTGACACACTTGGTCAACCTAACAGTGCTCACTGCTTTATGAATAAAAACACTTAATTGTCTTTTTTTCTTTCCTCCATACCCACACATCTATTGAACTATCAGCCTCAACAACACCCAGCAACAGGGAATTCTACAAGCTGATGATGTGGAGCAAAGAAACATTTATCTTAGAAAACTAATCCTTATTATTTGCAAGTATTGTTTTCTGTGTTCAGGACACGCCTTTATTTCAGGTCTGTGATTATTTTAGAAACTACTATAATTTCTCTTCTTAAGGTCTCCTAAGCAGAGAATCTCTTTGCTTTCCCAAACTGAATCTAGGTCATCTCCATAATGCTTCTTTCATGACTGCTCTCTCCCACCTTTCTAGTGCTCCTAATCTAGTGCTTTATGGCCTGAAGTTGTGTCAGGGGAGGTTTAGATTGGTTATTAGAAAAAGATTCTTCACTTAGAGGGTGTCTTTGGGTGCTGGAACAGCTTCCCAGGGCAGTGGTCACAGTCTCAAGCCTGACAGAGTCCAAGAAACACTTGGACAATGCTCTCAAGCACAGGGTGTGATCCTTGGGGATGTCCTGTGCAGGGCCAGGAGTTGGACTAGATGATCCTCAAGGGTCCCTTCCAGCTCTGAATAGTCTGTAATTCTGCAATCATTTGTGTAACCAAAATTCAGCATTACCTCTACAATGAGACAAGTCTGTCAATTTATACAATAACATGATGATATTTTCTAACTGATTTCCTTTCTGCATATAACCAAGTGTTGTGTTTCGTTTTGGAGACCCATTGCATATGCAGTAGATGCCTTTATGTATGATGTGTAGATCTTTCTCCCATAAGGTGACAAGTAATTCAGACTCCAATAATGTATACAAGTAATTTTAAATTGCCCCTTCTACTGTAATTACCTTGCATGTTAATTCCATGTTCAGCCACCCAGCTCTTTGCAGTCCTTCAGAAGTGCACCTGACAATCACTCACAGCGTTCACTAATAAATCTGGAGCCTTTCTAGAAAGTAGTGTTGACATCCACTCCTCATCCAGGTTATTGCTAAGCATACTGAATATAACTAGGTCTACTGTTGCTCTTTATTTTGATATTTTGTGAGGAGTTTTGTTTGGGGTGTTTTTTCCTATTTTGCTTTCCCATTCCAGAAGACTGAGTCTATTGGTCATGCACCTACCAACTGTAATTCATGGCAAAACTTTGCCACCTACTCTGTGATTTTCAAGCTCCCTTAGCCTTCAGTTGTAAGAGACTGTGACAATTTTGATTGACTAGGCAGGTTGCACACAATGATGCTCTTGTTTTGGATTTATTAATGTAAAGTTTTTTTAAAGAAACATTATTTTAAGGATAAAGACAATTCAGATAGGCAATATTGCTGTTACAACAAAAAGAACAACAGTCAAGTAAGCAAGAACAAGTAAAATTGAAACCACAAACACCTTTGTTTGTTGAACTTTTATACATTTGTCTTGGCTTTCAATTAGACATGTGCTGCAAGGAACAACTTGGGAAGATAACGAATTTTGTGCCTTTGCCTAAGGACACCTCTTTTGTAACAACTTCAATGTAGCCCTTAAATTTTAACCATATTTTTTAAAAATCCTATTCGTTCTGATTGGAGTCTCTTCCTACATGCTCCAAGTAGCTTGTTGGCTTCTTCACTTTTTTTTGTGGGGGTTTTTGGTGGCTTTTTTTTAATTTATTTTTATGAATGACAGATGCACTTGGCAATATCTGTGACCTTGAGTTGTACACTTGAGCAAGCAAGACAGCCCAGTCCTGCAAGGCTGTTTATGCATTCTGAGAGAGCTCCTTCTGAGAGGAGTGTCTCAAGGAAGGCAGAAGCATGATGTGCATACCAAGCCAAGTGCTTCATGATTTATTTATAGGGAAAAGGGGCATATAAATTTGCTGAAGGGGAAAGAAAAATGAAGAATCTGACTTACCTTGTCGGTGTAGACGAAGAACAGGATCACAACAGTGAGCTCCAACAGAAATATAATTAACAGCATGATAAAAAACTGTCAAGAGAAGAAGGGACAGGGGATAAAACAAAAGCCATCAACATCTATTTCAGCTTTTTCTGGATGCACAGTAAGTAACATTCAGCAGATCATGCAGAATGGGGAGTGGGAGACATACAGGCAGCAAGATACAAAGCTGCTGCAACATGCAGCAACTGAAAAAGCAGGGAAAAGACTAGCCAGGAAACACAACAGTATCTGGGCATGCATATGGCTCATTTATGTCACTGGTTTCAGTACAACCACCTAAAACCCCACAAAGAGCAAGCTAGTGCTCTACCTGACATCAATCCTTGAGGACATTCCCCATCCTAGGATTTCTTTATTTTCTTCCCCATTGGATATCAGTGATGATATCCAGTGGTATCAGTGAAATCCACAGATGAGACTTCCCATTTGCAAGAGAAGTAAGCCTAGGTTATAAACCATAAAATCACAGCTCCTTTCAAGAGGAACTATGAGAGAAGTGAAAGGTATACCAAGTTAGCCTTATGAGCAGTTTTGGGTAGCTACACAAATCACCCATGAGTTTCAGCTGAGAGCAGATGAGTTGTATTGAAGACATCAAAGCAAAGTCTGTCCATCTCTTTTTCCTCTCATAAGCTGTGGAACTGTCTAAAACCCAGTAGCCAAAAGCTTAAAGGAACTGATAAAAATCTTTTAACACATGAATTCGAGGTAGATTCTCTAAAGCTCTCAGCTCTGATGGACCTCAGAGAGAGAAACTCTTGGCATTGCCAAACACTTCTGAAAAACCATATCCTCTGCATTTTGTTAAGATGCTGGATGGATTTGCACAACAGGTCTGAAGCAGCATCCACACAACAGTTGCATGGACTTTAGAATGAGTGCTATCAGAGCATTAAATCAAACTGAGTTTTGCAAAGATAGGTAAAAGAGAGACTAATTTTGGAAACTTTTTAGGCTCAGGCAAAGATCCTGCTCCCTATAACATGAGCTCCAGACACTTAGCAGCCTGTAAGGCTGGAATTCTAATACTGAGCAACACTGACTTAATTGAAATTCCATCCCCAAGAGGAAAAAACAGTTACCATCTCTTTAGCTTCAACCACAAGGCTGCAAACCTATGAAAGTTTAATAGCTACTAAGCCTTTATCAGAGTTTCTGCACTGCCTGGTAAGCCAAAGCCAAACCTTTGAACCTATGGATTTCTGTGACTGAATGGAGGGCGAAAGGTCAAGAAGGGGAAAATACTTTTCTCCCCTAGGACAATTACTGTGTCTACAGAAATCATTGCATTTTGACCCGTGAGTCTTAAATTATTTATTTTCAAATTTCATCACCAGCACTTTCCACCTGCCTGACCCTAATACTGGATCCTATTACTGCCCAGTTCTGAATCACAGAACTCATTCACACTTGTGATCCAAGCTGATTTCCATATCATTACGATCCAACACTGACCTTCTGCATGGCTTTGCAAACCAGTCTTGGTGCAGCTTGCTTATTTTTTTCACATTTTTAGCCTGATGCATAGCATTAACTGAAACAGCATTAACTGAAACAGGACAAAGCATATCACTCTTTGCAAAGATGCACAGATGTTTTGCTCTATTTGGATGCAGAGTACTTTTTCGGGCATCCATAAAGCATTGCTGTTCCAAAATGTGTATGCAAACACCACTCCCTCCCTGTGAAATTCCCTGGCATAGCCAGGATTGCATTAGGCAATTTCTAGAACAAAGGACTGGTACTCATTATAAATAGTGATCAGCATTTCCTACCACAGGACCTCAATTTCATCAGCTTCGAATTTGGCCAAACCTTAATTATCCGTGCTTATATATTCTGTGCTTGCTCCTGTCTAAAGGATAAAAGCTTTTGGAAGAATGACAAAAATAGCACTTCAATTGCTTCTAAGAATGAAGCAGGGCAAAGCATGGTATTCTGCCCAGGTTAATTTCTGGTGATTCAATCTGAAATCCTCTCATACCACAGTGTTTAGAGCATAGACCTGAAACTGTGCAGCTCCATTTCAGGCACACACCTTTTGTCTCACCCAACTATGAGTGGATTTTCATGGGAAAGTTGTTAGCTTTCAAAAACCTGCATTTCACACAGTCAGTAGAGATGAGAGAGCTCACCACCTAAAACCTGAAAAGTGTACAACCATATGCTCACACACAGCCCACAAACCACCCAACAGAGCACCTTTCCTGCTCCTGTAGTGCCCACACCCACCTGCAATGACTTTTTTCCATCTCCCCAGAGCCAACAGCCTCCTGTGATGTCTGTGATGCAGACATCACAGGACATGATCTGGAACAGTGGTTGTGTCCAGGAACTCAAAATTCAGTGTCCTGTTTTTCCTGTGCTCTCATGAAAGCTTTTCCTCCCTTCTCTGCACTCAACAACATGGAGACAGTGCAGGAGAAAGGGAAGCCTAAGAAAGAGTATTTTTAACAGCAGATGGGGAATGGTTTGGTTTAGGACACAATCTGGCTACCAGTTTTAGAGAAACTGGACCTACAGGCAGCAGCTGATCGAGAGAGGAGACACCAGAGAAAAAGGCAAGGTGGGGACAGGGGACACCCATGCACATGGAGACCCAGGGGCCTTTGAAAGGATGGTGGCCTGGGAAGAACCCCACACTGAAGCCACAGAAAAAAAAGAGCTAGAAAGAAAGAGTGGCAGAAAAAGGAAATCACCCTGCACTGACCCCCATGACTGAGTATAATGTGCAGGGAGTGGACTGGGGACTGGCAAGGGGGGAGGAAAGCTGTCTGGAGGGAAGTTGAGGTGTTTTCTCAAGTGTGTGCCATTATTTCACAATATCAGGATCAGTAATTAAAAGTTTATCTTAATTGACAATAAACTAAGTGAAATTTCATGACTTGAGAGTGTTTTACCCTGCAGCACCAACTCTGATAAACATCCCATCTTCAGACAGCTGCTGCTGCCAGTTGCCAGCTGTGCCATTGTGTCCACCAGCAGAAGGAGGGCAGACTTTCTGGTCAGACCATGATGGTGGTCTCCATTCAACTTTTTCAGTTCATACTAGAGAAACAGGTATGAAGATGCTAAAATTGTGGAATCAAAATTTAGGAAATAGAAGAACCAAAGTCTTCTCAGTGATAGTTAGGTATCAAGTCTAAGTCTTT